CGGAATAATCTACATGCGGTTTTAGAGGATCTGAAGCAGGATGTTGAGGTAGATACCACAAGGATTTTATGTCTTTTTTTCCTCTTTCAAATTCTGCTTGAGTTCTTTTGTTCATTTTACACAAATATATTTTATCTGTATCACCTGTCATTTACATGGTGTTTCACAGCATCGTCTATGCAGTATGGTGGGGTATATGCAACTGCATGTTCCTTTCCTTTCACTGTTTCCATCTGTCTCCTTTAGGGTTAATTCATATGTGCAGGAGGGGCTGCTAACCACTTGGATACCAACCTCTACTCAGCTCACTTCAGTGAAATCTTGTATTAGTTATATCTTAGCTTTTTGTTCTGTCAAGATGGGTCTTGAATRTGCTGCTCTGAAACTCATTTTGGGGAACTGACTGTTGGTGTTAGTTTGTCAATTAGGAAGAGGAGATCAATCAACTGCTGCCTTACTATATCAAACACTTGTTTATATATGTGCTGTTAGGCTTCATATAGTATCAGACTTAATTCCATGGTGACAGAAAAGTGCTATAGTCTTTTTATAAGTCTCCTACTGAATTTCCAGTACCTCTTGCATCAGTTATCTCTAGGAACTGATACAAGGGATAATRCTGGATGATTAAATTCAAAATGAGCAAAGAAGGAAACTATTAATTTTTTTTTTTAATAAAAGATTTTTACAAGCTTCCTAAATCACAACTAATTTAGGTCCTGTGATGTTTTTCATAGTGTTCCCTGTGAACCGTATGTAAAAGGGAAGGATATTTGCTGAACTGTCATTTAGAGACATGAAATGCATCCTGGTCTGTAGTCCAAAGCAGTAATTCTTTCTATGTTCATCATTTTTTCAGTAAACAGAATTTCTGTGATGCAATGAACCCCTTGACAGCCATGAAAATATCTGCTTTCTTCGGGAGGCTGGCACAGCTGAAGATGAGCAGGGATCATTTCAGCTTTATGTCGCCTCAGAATAAGTGGGATCATGCTTAGTCTTGTTAGCTGAGCTTAACATGTCAAGGCCAACAACTACCAAAATAAGTAAATAAATGAGGATCTAGGGGATAGAGAAGGGCTAGAAGCAGAAAGGCAAGTGGGACATGGTTAAGTACAGATTAATGTTTGAACAGGCCTAATTTAGGGGTTATTCATCTCTCCTGTGTTAACGCTCAAAAACATTAAAAGTTTATTCAAGGTGCTGTTTTAGTAGAGCATGATAGCTTAGCTCACTGGCTTAGTGGATTTTTTGTAACAAAGTTTTCCTCTTTCCTTGAATTGAACTTTTAAATATTTTCTTGTAATTGAAATAATGATTTACTTTACGAAAAATACTGCTTGCAACATCCAATAGAGCTGGTTTCTGAACAAAGCCAAAGTTTAACAAGTTGTGGACAGAGAAACAAAATGACGTTCAGACAGYTGTCAGTGTGTGCACTTTGGTTCTAGTTTGGGGAAAAAACGTTGCTCACAGAGGAGTCTACAAAACTGCCAGTACCCTGTCCTCCTCCAGAAGTATGTCAGAGCTAGGTTTTGCAAGTGTTCTCCTTTAAAAATGACAGTCAAAAGCTAAAGGCTGTTTGCATGTTTGTGCATGGAAGTGATAAGTAGCCTCTGTGCTGYTCAGTTCGAGTGCAAGAATAGACTTTGAGTGTTCACTTTCATAYTCCTTGATCTTACGGCAGAATTCAATACAGATTAAGGAAAAAATCCTTTTGTCTCTTGCATGTGTGCAAGATTGTTGGGGAGCCAGAGGCTCCTCAGACACCTGCAACTCCGCCTCCTAGATTTATTCAGGTCAGTCACAAAATTTGTATGTGTGTACTTTGAGGACCAGCATGGTGCTGTGCTGGCTCAAAGTCCCATGGCTTGGAAATTTTACTGTTAAGTAGCAAGCCTCCTCAAAGTCAGTTTTGTCAACAATTTTTTTTTTCTGCATGGGATTGTCTTGATGGAGGCTGGATCTCAYTGGTTGATAGAGAAATGTGCTTTGAAGGATTGCACTGCATAGGACATACCCCTCTGAACAGTGTATCTGCCAATGGCTGAAGTAGTTGGAAATCCTGTGGAGGGCTTATTTGATTTTTGTTTAGTTAAGCTCTGAGGAGAGCCATCACAGTGACATACTGGATTGCTTGGCAGGCTGAGACATCTGCTGGCACTTCCGAGGTGTAGGCTACAGCAGTGAGGTTTCCTATTGCATCATGCTGAAATCTCTCCAGAACATAATGGTATTTAGTAGTAAATGCCATTGTATAGAGATGAAACTGTATGAAATTCAAGATTGCAGTCTTTGTCTTCAAAAAGCTTAAGGACCTTAAGGATCTTTTGCTCCTGCAAAAGTTTTATAGCAAGACTGAGGGGTATTATTAACAGTGCTGCAACTGCTGAGAAAAGGAGCTGACAGAGGAGTGAAACCAGATTCTGAACTTCAGTGCAACATACTGTTAGGAGAAYTCTATATGCACCTTGTCAGTGCCTGTCCTGTTAGAAATTGAATTTAGGTGTGTAATTGATACACTTAAAAGCCTGCTAATGGCAATTCAATACTTTAAACTATGTACTTAGGATGCTTAGTGTTTTGCATGAAGTGCCTAATTTTATGCATATTAGGCTACATAGGACACCTTTACAACTATTTGGTTATTCAGGGATAGCTTGCGATGACTCTTAATCATTCCTCCCATGTTACAATCACCTGAAAAGTTAATGATTTTGCACGCTAATAGCTTTGTCTAAATTGTTAATAAATTACCACCCTCCGAGACCAAGCCATATGGACTTCCACTGAGTATATGCCTTGACTTTCTTCCCTTTCTGCTTTTCACCATGCTAAACAATTACTGCTAGTTGCTGTAATTTACTCCGACTCTGTGGCCAGGGTCTGTCTATTATGTCTCCTACATCCAACCCCTAAGCTTTCACTTGACACCATCTGACACCCTACAGCTTGGGCTTCTGGTACTTTAGATGAATGATAAAATTTAAAAGCCTTGTAATTCGGCCTCTCCCTCTTTATACTCCTACTCCTGTGGTTCCCTTGTGATTGCTCAAGAAGTGTTTTTGATATGTCCTCTCCAAAGAGGATAAGAATCTGGAGGATGGAAAGAAATCTAAATTGCAGCTCTGTCTCAAGATAACTAAAAATAGCAAGAAAATTATTGTAGACTTTGTCCAAGCAAAGCAAAGCTTAGATTGTTTAAAATGCATGAAGTAGCTGACACACAGACAAGATGGTGTAGCCTGGGGACGGTGCATCTTAGTAGTAGTAGTRTAGTAGCTGTTAAATACAGAAACGGAGGGAAATTACCATATAYATGAAAGGAAGAAACCTGTTTGTGGGATGAAATGGGGGGTTTTTCTTTCTTTTTTTGGACACATGTTCAAACCTAGAAATCCTCGTGAGTACATTTTAAGTGAAGGCTAAGTGGCTGTCACTTTGTAGTAAAGAGCCTAGTGACTTCAGTGAGAAACACGGTATTTCAGGTCACTAAATAGAGCTCAGGTGTACGGGCATGACCAGCACCTGTTCAGTTCTGAGCAGATCTTTTGTTCACTCAACACAGAGAGTTGAGGTCATCTGCATCCCAATACARTGGACATGTAAATGCCATGATTAGATCTCATTATGCTTATCAAGGCATGTTGTTGCGGGACAGAAATTGAGTGATGCTGTTTTACATTATCTCCTCAAGAAACGTGGTATTTGTACAAAATCATTTATGGTAKCAGAAAGAAAATAGTGCAGTTGGTTACAAGCTGGATAACTGCTTGTGATGGATCATTTGCCTAGAAGACATGGCAAAAGAGCAGATATTGGAAAATACAGTGTATTTACACAGCATAGCACTGTGTGTTTGCCAGCTCCATCRCTTGCCTCCACTTTTCATCCCTGTCATGAAGAGTTTTGTGAGATAGAAAGTTTGCAGGCAGCAATGCTATATTTTGCCAGGCCAGTTGATACAGCTGGAAAATCAGGGCATATTTTCGGCAGCACAAAGCTCTGTTTGGTGAGAAGTAGCTGTTCAGGCAGTGGCTGTGCTGTAACCAGAAGCAGATATCGATGTGTGTGTTCGTCAGCCCATTGAACTGCTGATAGGGAGTGATGTAACTTGTGGCTGGAGAGTAATTACAGTGCTCTGSAAGAGGAGTTCAGAGAGTGGTTAGTGCAAAGGGCTCCCAGAGTTCTCTTGTCGTGCAGAGTAATTATGATCGTTAAGGAGGAATGACTGAGCACAAGTTACTTATTTACAGTGAGGTAAGGTGGTGTATTTGGAAAGGCTGGTGCCCTTTTCAGAGGCTGATGTTCCTCCAGCCAGCCATACCACATCCTTGGTTGATTTACTTTGTTTGAGTTAGAGGTCTATCTATCACTACAAGAGCAAGGATACAGATACATCTTTTTATATGAAAGTCCTTGGAGTGCCCTTCAAAATAGCACAAAATATRGTAGGATTATTAACAATGATTGCTTGTATAATGATGTCTTCCAGAACTGCAGCACTCTCTTACGTTTTTTTCTTCCAAATTATTTGGTCTTTCAAAGTGTTTATTACAGTGTTGGACAATCTGGACTTGATACATTGCCAAGTCGAAGTGAGGTAATTGTAAGTGATATGCTTTGGAAATGTATGTCAGTTTATCAGAAAGTGTCGTGGTGCTGCACATTAGTATTGCCATTGTTAAAAATCCTACCAAATTCTGGTTCAATACACACACACATGCACCTATATAATAAATAATATTTATTCTGTGTCAGTGGTTTTTTGCCAAGGAGGAGAAAACAAATATCCATTGCAGATGCTTTACTATCTGTGGTTTTCTGCTCTAAAATAAATAAATAAATAAATAAATATTTTCTACAACAATAATTTGCACTGTAAAAATCTAGTTAAATAATTATGTGATCGTTTTACTGAAACTTAGTCTTTGCTCTCACTACATTTCCTTTGCCTGGGACTTCCAAATGTGTTACGCTGCCTTTATTTTGTCTTTCAGATGACGATGTGGACCTGGAAGCTTTGGTAAACGACATGAATTCCTCATTTGAAAGTTTATACTCTACATGCAGTATGCAGTCGGAAACCACTCCGCTCCTGCAGAATGGCCAGCTGAACCGCAGCCAGCTGCCATCCTCAGGGTCCGGCACCCTGCAGCCCACGTCCCCGAGGCAGAAGGTGCAGCGCTCCCAGCCAGTGCGCATCATGGCAGTCAGGTGGGAGCAAGGCACTCRCCTCCTTTCTCATAGGCGAACTGGCTTCAAAACAACTGCATTTTAAAATAGGAGATCCACTTTGATAATGAGCTTAGTAATGCAAGACTGGACTTTTGCATAGAAAACGTACTAAGAAGGTGAAGAACATAATATTTCCATGTATTATCACCCTTCTTTTAGTCAAGATTTRATGTTTATGTAGTAGCCGACGTGTAGAAGTGTTTTACTGGTTCCAGTTGGCAGAAACTATATCCATATCTGGATTTTTTTTTTCCAAACTTCTACAATCAATTCTCTCAGATCTGGTATCTGCTGATAGCTTACAGTTTTTATTAAACATAAGAGATCATGTAGATAGTTGAGGGTGTGCTCAGCTGTGTTTGATATACAGAAAGTGCCTCTCTCTTTGTGGAGATTCCCTGAATGTTTTAAGACCAACAAACAAAAAAGGACATCTGTTCTTCCCAGAGCACTTTCTACTGACTTGAGTGCATTGTGAGTCATTACCAAAAAAAGAGTGTTAAAGTTGTCTCCTTGTTGTAAGGCTGAGGGCTGAAATTCAGGCTTCGAGTGGAAAATGGTGATAGGATGGTGATCTTGATGGTGATAGGACAGTCTATAGGTGATGTAGAGGTTCTTCAAGTCTTTTTAGGCAGCAGGAGGAAACGAGCTCCTGTCACCCTGAGTAGGTAAATTAATTTCTTTCATGCTAGTTAACAGTGTCTCCTCTAAAAGAAGTGAAGAGTAATAATATAATAAAAGAAAAATCCCAGATGTGGAAGGGGTTGCTTCTAATTCYTTACACTGGTGTACTACCTGTAGGAATGGTATATGACAGGCAGCTTTTCTGTTTGAATGGGTAGTGTGCAGTGCGACCAAGTCAGCYGATGATGCCTTCAGTTCTACAGGTATTTATTTCATGGTTAACCTCAAATAGGGCTGTACTAAAAAACACACTCACTGGAGTACTGTAACTGTCAATGTTTTGTAAACATCTCAATCAAAACACTGAAATTATTTATGGTATTTATAAAACTTTAYTCTTCTTTTGAGAACACTCTGGCTTTCTGAAGTATGTACTTCCGTGCACACAAGAACATCCTGTRTTTATCATGAAAGAAGATAATGGTGAATCCTTGAATGATTGACTGTGGTCTCTTAGGAGCACAGGTTTATGTGTGTACCAGTTATGAAGTAAATGATGTACTAGCAGCAGTACAGGCACAGCAGAGCACAGCACACAGAATTCCCATCTTAAGGAAACCACCCCTTTCTAATTGTGTCGAGTCTGTGATTCCACTTCTTGCAGTGGAGGTCAATCAAAAACTTGCAGTACAGATCACTATTGCACAGATATGACATCCGCTGAAGAAATCTTATATTGTCCTTTTACCCTGTGCTGTAGAGAATTGCACACAATTCTCTGGGGGAGAGTACAAAAACCAATATGAAGCAGGTCAGGTAGTGGTTGGTATCGTTATGGTTGGAACCTGCTGTTTATTGTAACGCTCCAGATCTGTATGACTCAGTCATGGAAMACCAAGGCAACTAAATTGCCAGACAGAGTTACCTGCAGAGCAGATTTCAGAGCAGTTAAATTTTGTCATCCCCAGGTTCTGGTACAGGCRGACAGTGAGTGTACCCAGAGTTGGATATGCTGCTGGGGCCAAACCCAACAGTTATCTCCCAGGCAGCTCTGTTAAGGAGGCTCTTCTTGCTGAAGGCATGCAGAAAAATGAGAACAAACCGACTTTTTAATGAGTTGCCTTTCAAATCCAGGAGTTAGTTGATTCAGAAACTTTCATGATTGCCACTAGATGGTGCCTTCTGCCAAGGCATAGCAGGACAGCCTGCTGCAGTCACCTAGTGCATCTTTGATAGTGATGCCCTGGCAGCGGGGAAACAGAAAGCCATCTGTGTGGTCTTAAATAGGTTTTACAGCTTTTCTGGTAAGCTTTAGTTTTTCTTTTTTTGGTGTGGGYGGTGCAGGTGTATTATAAACGGGAACTTGAAACTCCATTGGTCCTGTGTAGACTCATGAGGCGCTTTTCGGTGGATGCAAACTTGTCTGAACGGTAACTGTACAACTGGCATAAGGTGGGAGGGTGTAATTCCAGCTTATTGCTGAAGCAGAGTCTTTGCATTTTCATTTCTCCAGGAAATGCCGAGTTGCTTGGAGATAGAATCTGGTATTATAATGAGGTAACAATATTGGTTTAAGTCTCAGCTTAGAGAACTTTACAGTGGGGTACACATTTGTTTCTAAATCCACTTGGAATTTGGCTCTGAGTGACTGCCATTGTGTTCTCCTCTTTCACATTRGTTTGGAAGAGCTTTGCTGACATTCTGGCACACAGAGCTTATGCTTGTAAGCTAGTGCTTACARCAGTGAGTACAGATAGATATTTCTGTTTATTTTATTTGCRCAGTTACCTCAGTTACTCACCCAAATAATCAAATTATAAGCAACMAAATAAGCACAGATGCCTGACTGGTCATTTTTCACGTGCAATTACCTACTTTGTGCTAACAGTTGCTGTAAGCGTATAGTAGTTGCCTAGAAAAAGAGTGGGTTTGATTCCTTGACTTTAGGGTCATTATCACAACCTCTGGGGCAGGAGATCCAGTTCTAGTGATGCCAGTCTTCTCCTCTTAATGTGCAGTGCTTCTGTGTTTATAGGCGTCTTCAAGAAGAGGAACAGCAATTCAGAACATCGTCTTTGCCGGCCATTCCAAATCCCTTCCCAGAACTTTGTAGCCCCGCGAGCTCTCCAGTGCTGGCCCCTGGATCTTTACCTCAGAGTCAACCTGCTAGTAAGCATGTGAGTATGGGATGAAGCTTTGGGCCATCCATTCGCGTGCAAACCAGCAGTGGACTACTTCATTTGAAGGCAGAAAGAAAGCGTCCAGATAAGTAAAAACGCTTGTAGACTTTGTCTGTGAGTAGGGCAGCACTGGCCGAGAGAGTATCTTCAAATAGGCTTCAGACCTTTTTTAAAAGGTTTGTAGGAAAGAAGTGTAAAAACGAAGTAAGTCTCTTTCAGATAAATGCGTGTTGTGAATGAAGCAGTAATGCTTAATAACCTTCAGACTTTGTTATTCAACATAAAGACTTGCTAATTCAGAAGTCAGGTTAATTAGCTCAGAGTTGGATGAGGATCTGTGCCTTTTATACTGCATATTCTAGGTGCCACAAAAACGCTGAACAGCTGAATTCTTTAAAGACGTGGCAATACTTTATTTGCTGTTTTTCATGAAGCTGTTCAAAAGCAAAGGTCTTCTTACAGCTTGTAACTAGGCTCAGCTCTTTGTAATGGCATTTTAAGGGGAGGGTTGTCCCATGGAAAGCTGGTGGAATCATTTTCTGGGTTCTTGGCAGTGAAGATAGCACAGGCTGAGTGAGTTCTCATGTGGTCCAGAGCAGTAACCTCGGTGACACTGCAGTTTTTCTTCTGTCCTGCTCCACTCTATAAGAAACAATCATCTCGTTTTGTATCATTTCTTAAGCACACTTGAAGGCTAAAGCTGGGCTTAAAATCCTTTATTTCTGTGCTGATTTGCATGGGAATGAAAAGATGGGTTATTCTAACTGACTACTGGCTTACAACAATTATGTGCTTGAGTACCCAAAAAATATCGACAAGTTGTGTGTTACTGTTCAGTTAGCTTGTAATTGGCTCCTGCATCCTGTCTGAGAGATGAAGGGCTGGGGTGGGCAGTTCAGCTACAAGCAGTAGACCCCAGTGCGTGCTCTCCTATGTTTCGTGTTGTTACAGTGCCATAAACAGCTTTCCTGAAAGACACAGTGCATCTCCGCTGGTTTTACTGTGTTTCTTACACATACAGACAGACAGGTAACCCAGTAATGCCCTGTAAAAAATTGAGCCATCCCGCTGGGAATGTAGCACAGGGCCCTGCCAGAGACCCAGGTACTGGCTAAGCAGAGAGGCTGTTTTGCCAAGGCAGTGTTGATCTGACTCTGGGGAGACAAAACCAGGGGCAATTCTGCCTCCTGTRCTTGCCAGCAGGACAGCAGCATAGCTGTGTTTCTGAAATAAACTTTACTTTCTGATGAACCTGTGTTTACCTCTCCAAATATTCCCCRGGTTCAGGGTTTCTTCGCCTTTCAGCTCTATGTTCTACTTAAAGTAACCAACCCTAAACTTGGCTCTGTAAATCCTTAAGGAGCCCTAAATGATCTGTGAATCAGTTTTTGATAGAATTTAGAAACTAGTGATTTACAGCAGATAAATATAAAAATAACCAATCTTTTAAGGTATGTAAGAAGATGGCTCTAAAGGTAGAATATATGATCTTTTCCCAAATTTTACCTTATAATTTTTTTAAAAATTATTCTACCTTACTTTAAAACAAAAAAAATTGRCATGTTTTGAAAGCCTAAAATGAAATTGTTGATATTGTATAGATATGCCTGCTGCTGAATTTTTTAGTCAAAGACAATGCATTTCAGTGATAAAACCATTTACGGTACAAGCTGAGGAAGTAAAACACGTTGGATAGTAGTGGTTTCTTTTGTAGATGCAAATAGTCTGTTCATTTCAGCATATTGACTCATTGGAGGCAGTTGAGAAACAGTGGCTTGGGGTGAGGGAGGGATAGGAAAGTATTCTTTCCCTCTCTAACAAAGCACTTTCCTCTCTTTAATTATTGGATAGAGGAACAGAACTGAAAAAAAGCCTTCTAGTTTTAAAGTATGATGGGTGCAAAAGTAAAAGAGAGTAAGTTTGGTTTYTTCATGGAGGAAGAAAACTACCTGAGTAGTGAAGTGTCATTGGATAACAAAACAAATCTCTCTGTTCAGCCTCCTTGTAATTTGTGCTTAATCCAGTTTTAGTTCMCTTCACTGGAGTCTGCGAAACATCATGAGTTAAAAAAATTAGTAATTTAGGAAATTTTATACTTCAAACCATTGAAAAATGGAAAGTTTGGGAATTTGAATAAATTATTTTAGGACATGCCCTGGCTGAGGTAAATTTTCATTGATATGATACAAAGTACTGATTAACAAAATGAGTGATGAGCTTAAAGGACTGCGGTAGAGTATTTTAATACTTGGCAGTTAGAGAAAATAAGTTGTGCTTTAAGAAAAATATAAATATTGTCTTAAATGCTAACTARAGTAAAATACCAAGATGCTTAATTTCAGGTTGTTTGGCTGCAAATTATAAACACAGATTAAAATTGGAGATGGGARTGAGTCGTTCTGATTACATGGGATATATGAGGTGTTAGTGAATTMCTTTGGCGCTTCTCGAGCATTTACAGGTAAATAAGCAAATGGCAGATCCAGCCAGCAGTGCTGTACCTCTGATCATACAGGGCATCGTGGCACATGCATGGTGTGGAGGAATGTTGCCTTTGGTCAGCTCCTGTCTMGGGCACTCGAGAGGGATTCAGGTTAATGTAGCCTTTGGGGATTTCAGAAAGAAGTGAACATTTCGTTTGTGACTATGTAAAGCAGTGGCGGGTCGCTGGGACGCTTCAGTGTCTGATGACTTCATAAGAAAGGAAGTGTGGTTAGTTTTGCTCTTCCCGGAACACCTCAGTGTTACTGTTTAACAATTGTAAAATGCAGCTCTGCAGTGATAAAACCTGGTAGTGGTTATGCAAGAGGAATTTAAAGATCCAGTCTTGTTAAACATAGAAGAGTCTTACGTCATAATGCCAAGCCTTGGGCATAAAGTAATGCCAGTCTATTCAAGTTTTACTAAAACTTATTCCCAGGATATTGTTCCCTGTAGGAAAAGGATGGATGTGTGAATGAAAGAGTGAATGAAGGAGCTTTCAGGTTACAAAGCTTGAATTATATTTTCAGCTGAAAAAATGGATATTGTCTTTTCTCATATGCAAAATTTCATTCTGGAGCTGGAGCCTGAGATTCAAATTTCTTGTTGCTTTTGAGTCTCTTCCTTATTTTTTTTCATGCGGTTGCCACTGCTTTTTTTAACAAGTGGTTCACAGCATTGCCTTATGCACTGCTTTGCATTTGTTTCATACTCTTGGYTCACAAAGAAAGGTAAAAACAGTAAAATAGTGAAAAGTAACTGTAATAAACCTTTCTTACGTTTTTTGTGGTAGGTTCTTTTTCTCTGTTTGCTCACGATGATGAAGCATTTTCTTTATTGTACTCAAAAAAGTGCAATAATTTCATATTTAAAAAACTATTTTTTACAAGATCTGTTGGGTAATGATACTAATTTCACCACAGCAGGAAGCAGTATGCCACCTCTAACTCTTTTGCCAGTCAGGCACTGAAGGCTGCTTTTAAATCTGATGGCTGCAGCAGTGTACTGCAGCTGCTCCCCAGAAGACAGAGAACAGTGGGAAATGACAGGTCTTCAGTACTGGCACAAAACTAAAAACAGGCAAATGGGAGATTCACTTAATGGGAGAAGCACTCTGGGAGGTAAAACTGCAGTGTTAGGCTTATCAAAATCTTTTCAAATTTGTTTGTTAGGGTTTTTTTAAACTTTGGATCATCTTCACTGCTTTAGAAAAAAAACCTTAATCTTGTAGATAATTTTTTTGAGCACAATGGGTTAAGAAACTGGCACATAATTAAGCAGTAAAAGAAGATAAACAACTGTGARCCTTTAGTTACATTTCAAAGGCTATACATCCTCCACAGTGGTAGCATCTGTGCTAATACAGTTATGTGACCAAACAAATCTGGCTGTAGACATTAAGAAATTATTTGTAATTAAAGGGATACATGCCCCTTTGGAATTCAGCACTGTGATCCTTTGTTAGTGGTCTGCAGATGGAAATGGTCCACTTTGAGCTAAGTTTTACCATGAAAAATGTCACACATTGACCTGTTGATAGTGAATAGTGCATGGTCTATAAAACTTGGCATGGCTGAAGTTGGCAATGTAGCCAACCAGAGAGTGCCTGGATGAAAAGGACCAGCTAGTTGTGCTGTTGAGTCAGTAGCTACTTCAGCTGCTGGTGTGGTGAGTGAGACAGTGCAGGTGTCTTGTGCTTGGAAAAACTGTGACCCCCTCAAGTGGCAGCTGATAAAGCTCTCAAGACCTTGGGTTGAGAGCAGCATTGTCTGTGAGTTTGGACAGGAGGCTGACAGGAGAGGGGCTCCCTGATCACTGCATGCCCAAGCATTCCCCTCTTCATCACGTCTGTTTGTCCTCTAAGTGGCACCCACCTGCCTCTCACCACAGAGCCCAAAACTTCAGCAGGCCTTTGAGAGTGCTCCTGCTTTCCATGCCTAGGAAGGGTGAGAAAAGACAGGAGCAGGAAGGACATGGTCTGGGTGAACACCATGGGCATTGCAAGACCACTTGATATTCTTCTCTGTCTCCCTTCTCCCCACATCTTTGTGTGTAAGGTCATCCACTCCTACAAACACAAGGTCACCCCACGTCTGAGTGAGGACAGTGGTTGCAGGCCAGGGAGAAGGGACAGCTGAAAGTTTTTAAAACATCGTTTACTTAACCGGATAAATACGTTTGTCTAAGAAAAATGGAAACCAGAAAACTACACCAAACCAAGACCAAACATTTGTCCAAAAGATTGCTAAAAACATCAGACAGCTAGGTTACTGCCAACTGAAGTCCATCTTTGTGTTGCTGGTRTAAACTAAGAACTAGTTGGTAACTTAGGTTATAATTTCTGGTTGTGTACAAATATTTTGGAAAAAGCATGCAATAATTACATGTAGGTCACTGCAATGCCACAGGATATTAGGCTTAAGTATCTTGTGTGAGTCAATGAAGCTTTCAACTGTAAAAATAGGGCAAATTTCTCACATCCCCCCTCTATACAGCCCAGGCAAACTTCCAAAAAG